TATCTTACGGCAAAATGATATATTAACAATGAGAGCAGTAACCAACAAACTTGTTAAAATAAAATGAATGCGTGAAAAGTGAAAACCTAATTAGAGTATTAACACTAAAATTCAGAGATTTCAACCCTCAATTTTCTATCTGAAGTAACACGAAAAGAGAATAAAACCTGAAAATCTGGTACCGTCGTAAGCAATAACTAATCGCCATTTATAAGCTGGTAATGACAGCTTCACCGATTGACCCTTATTTGAATCTTCATCCTTTCCACTACAATTCTGCTAGCAAAATTTCACATCAATTAGGGAACAAAAAAAAAAGTAAATTAGAGCAAAATAACAATGGAAATAGCACATACTGAGGTACAATTTGCTGAATTTTTCTCGAGATTTGGAAGTAATGGAAGCGCCAAAGCTGCTGAGAAACACATTCTTCATTAACGTTAGCTCAATTTTTACAAAATGGATCCATGAATTTTCAGCTGCTTTTCTGCTTGTGATTTTGAGCAAAGATTATCAGAGTTTTATCTTTAGACTAAAAACCAGGGCGCCGCTCTGTTTTGAACCTCTTGATTACACTTTATTTGGATGATTCTTACTAATTATTTCATAATGTATGTATTGTAATGTATTGTGTTGTATTGATTTATAGTGTATTGTTTTATTAAATATAATATTTAGATAGATTGTATCATTATCCGTCGTACATAATGTGACATATTTATAATTTGAGTGATAAACCTATCAGAAAAGTAGAGTATGTGGTAAAACTATTATGAAAATGTAGGATAAAAGATGAAATATGACTATTAAATAATAAATATAGATAAAATGAGAAGAAAATATTAAGGTAACGACGAGATCACGCTAAAATGGTCGTTACATAAAATGTGTCTTTTTGTCATTACCTAACGATAGATTTAAACGCGATATAATATAATTTAAGTAATAATCAAAACAAATATTATATTTAAACTAACAATATAATACAACGAGTAACAATCATCCAAACAAGGTGTTACAAGTGCGGCTACTCTGAACTCTACCATACACTTGGGGAATTTCACCCCATCGCCTATTTACGTAAAATAACTTTGAAGATGGGTGATTTTAAACTTCGATCTTGTTTGTACTATAGATAAAATTTATAAATTTAATAAGTTAGACTTTTGGTTTTAAAGACGTTAAAAGTTTGGAATTATTCATTTTTTAGGTCATTAAGTGTAATTTCCAATATTTACATAGTATTTAAAATATAATCACATTTTTATTTATTTATTTTTATAAATAAGTAACTAGTTAAGAATTTTCGCATATAGCCACTCAAAAATAGCTTAATTATGCTCCATAGTTATAGTTTGTTAATTACGATTCGTAGCTACATGTTATAGGGATGAGAGTGGCGAGCGAGATTGGGAGAGGGAGAAGAGAGGCGAGCGAGAGATGACAGAGAGTGGAGAGAGGTGAATTGTATATGTATATTGGTTATATAATTGTATATGTATAACTACTATGTATATGTATCAATTATTGTATTTGGATATCTGCATATAATTTTAATTCGTATACAATTGAATCGAGTTAAAACATTTGTATTTTATATCCAATCTCTCTCTCTAGTTTTATACAAACACAAATTATACATTGTATTGAGAGAAAGAGAGAGAGAGAAAGGCAAAAGAGAACTGGGCAAGAGAAGATTTATATTTGTATAATTATAAGTGTATATGGCGGAAATATATGTATTTGTATTTGTATATCCCATCTCTCTCGCTTGTGTTTGTATTAAGTGAGAGAGAGATTGACAGAAGAGAAGCGAGAGAGAGACTGAGCAAGGAGAGGTGAAGGAGAGGTGAAGGAGAGATGACTGAAAAAGAGGAGAGTGGCTAGCGAGATTCCAGAGAGAGGCGAGAGAGAATGTAATTATAGCTAGAAGTAAGTTCCGAATTATAATTAATGCAAATTGTAACTATGTTAGCTAATTAACTAGTATATGTTTGCTTAACCGCGTAATTTCCCTATTAAAATTACCATGGCTGCAAATTTGAAGTTGTAGTAAAAAGATCACATGATTTGAATTTAGGGGAAACTAAGCTAATACCCCATAAAAGCAAAATAATTACAAACATATATCCATAGACATTCATATCCTACTAAATAATTACACTATATACCCCCCACCCCCAACTAATTTCGCTTAACTAATATTAAATCAGTATCATATATTGTATTGGTATCATTAAGGTTGATAATTTCGCTTAATTGATACTAAATCAGTATATATATACTCTTATAGTATCATTGACTAATGAGTAATTTCTGAACAAGAAACCTTAGTGATACCAATACAATATATATAAATATACTGATTTAGTATCATTGACTAATAAGTAATTTCTGAACACGAAACATTAATGATACCACAACAATATACATATACTCTTATAGTATCATTGACTAATGAATAATTTTTGAACAAGAAACCTTAATGATACCACAACAATGTGTGTGTGTGTATATATATATATATATATATATATATATATATATTACTATATATTACTCTTATAATATCATTGACGAATGAGTAATTTCTAAACAAGAAACATTAATGATACCAATACAATATATATATATATATATATATATATATTGAGTTAGGATCAGTTAAGCGAAATTATCAACCTTAATGATACCAATACAGTATCTGATACTGATTTAGTATCAGTTAATAGAAAATTATTAGTCTTAATGAATGGGGGTATGAGCTGTAATTTTTTTTAGAAAATGGGTATTTCTTGAATTACTTTGCATTAGGGTATGAACATGTAATTATTTTGAGTTTTATGGTCCATTTATGTAGTTTTTACTTGAATTTAACAAATAGATAGTTTTTTTTTATAAGATGACTATAAAGTGTTTATTTGATCTTAAGAGTAAGTTGATTTTAACGGGAATTCGAATTTAATCGAACTGTAATATGGAGATTCGATATCGAGTGACAAATTAAAAAAAAATGAATATGATGATGACATAGTTTGTCGAAGTAAATGAAATTTGACTTGAAGTAGCTAGCGCGTCAAATTAAATGAAATTTGCCTTCATCTATGACGTGTTCAGTTAGCGACGAATTTACAGCACATCAAATGAAAGTTCATTAACTTTTGCAATGAACTAAGAAATCAATTATTTTTTCCGTTTTATTTTATGTGGCATCAAATTGATAAAGAAACTTATCAATTTTAAATTCTAGATTGATCTTTGTATTGACTGTGATGGTATATAATATCACATTAGTGAAGTAATTTTGTTCTCCACACAACTTAAGAGCTATGTTGTAAATTGCCTTGGTGTTACCAACTGAATTGAAAATGGTTACTCTACGCGCATCTGATAAAAGTGGAACGATATAGAGAAAATCGATTATTGTCTAAAGAGAAATAATAAATTTCTTCCATAATTGTAAGTTTTCTTCATATTAGTTTCAATGTTATGTGCTTGATTAGATGTTTTTCCCCTTCTTGATAACTCTGCGATTGCCTGTTTTTTTTTTTATTGTACCCAATTTTTTCTCGAATTCTCTGAAAGTGTTGTTGTGTTTGAGTCGGATAACCTCCCTTATAAGTTTGTGGCGTGGTAATCAATGAGTGAGTTGAGAATCATCTCTTCAAGCTTTGATGGACAAAGTTATCCGATATTTGTGTCTGTAGGAAGTAGCAGGTATACATAGAATTAATTGAGCATAGTCTACCTGAACACCACAGTTATTTATGATTTTTTTTTTTCCTTTTTACCTAATTAATGTATTGAATAATCCAAATATGTATTACTTTGAAGGACCCGATAGATACATTAGGTATAGATAATTTATATAGAGAAAGACAATTTTGAACCTCGTGAACATAAGATTAGAAGTTAATTTAGTGTCTAGAGTATAAAATTTTGATTACTTATTTGCACATAATAACATTGAAGATGGATGATTTTAAACTTCACGGAGAATAATTTAAGTTTACCAAATGCCTTTTTCTTTTAAAGGCGTTAAAATTTTAATGTTATTCATTTTTAAAGATTATCAAGTACAAACTTTTTATATTCACATAGTAATTAAAAGACAATCATCTTTTAATTTTTTTCATACATAACTAGTTAAGAAGTTTCAATATTTAAATCACCATGATTGCAAATTTTAACTAATAGATAGCTTTTTATAAAAAAAATTATAAAGTCTGAGATAATTCAATTTTTTCCTCATCTTTAAGGATGACGTTAATTTTAAGAGTAAGTTAAAAATGTAGCGTATCAAAATAAATGAAATTTGACTTGACGTGACGTGACGTAACGTATTAAAGTACATGAGATTTGAATTGATTTATGACGTATTCAACTAGTGACAAATTTAGAGCAAACTCAACCGAAGTTTAGTTACTTTTGCAGTACATTAAGAAATCAATATTTTTTTCCGTTTTATTTTATGTGACTTCGAATTAATAAAAAAAAATTAGAAATTTTAAATTTTAAATTCTAGATTCATCTTTATATTTATCATAATGATATGTTGTGTCACACTAATGAAGTGTTTTTGTTCTCCACACAACTTAGGAGCTATATTGTAAATTACCTTGGTGTTATCAATCTATAGAATATGGTTGCTCTACAGTCTACACATACCTGATAAAATTGAAATAACACGAAAACAATAAACTCTAGAGTTATGTTGTAAATTGCCTTGGTGTTACCAATCTATAGAAAATAATTTCTCTCTACACACATATAATAAAATTGAAACGACACAAAGACGGTCAACTCTAAAGAATAAGGGGATGAAAGTTGTATATCTCAAACTATTGAGAGAAGAATGATATTTATTCAAAGGTAAATTGACATTTTTGCAAAGTTTTAGGTCATAAAATGAAATAGCTTAAATTGTAAACTATTCTTCTCTATATTTCTCTCTATTGCCATGAAAATTGAAAAGATAAATCAACAAAGCAGAAATTATGAGAATACCCCATCTTTAACAGGTAATTTCATTTTTTCCCCCAATTTTAAGGAAATCTAGAAACCCAATTTTGCATTTGTTCCCATAAATTTTCCCTAATTCTATTTCTTGTCTAAACTGAAATGATAAATTCCTTCCAAAATTGTAAGTTTTTCTTCATATTAATTTCAATTCTATGTGCTTGATTAGGTGCTTTATCCCCCTTCTTGCTAGCTTTTGCATTGCCTGTTTTTCTTTAATTGTACCCAAATTTTGCTCGTACTCTTCGAAAATATTGGTGCTCTTGTGTCGGATACTCCAATAAAAAGCACTTACTTTAATGAACATAGTTACTCTATACTTGTACCCGCTGAAAAGTAGCAAGTATCCATACAATCAGTAGAGGGCTTAGTCTGCCCAGACACCATGGTTATAAAAAAAAAATTCTTTTTTCGTTTGGTTCAGAATAAGTTATCACGGAATAAATTATTTTGCGATAAGTTATTCCACCATGTAGATGAAATAACTTATCCATCAAGATATAAATGATGGAATAAATAATCTACCTACCAAACGCATGATAAAATAGCCCCGCATTTTATGCTGAGATTATTATACTTTATACCTCACACCAAATTACAAGTGAATTGATTAGTTTTAAAGTTGTTGCACACATACGAGTACGCCAAAAATGTATTTCTTTGGAGGATCTTACACACACATGTAACATTTTCAGAAAATCCGAGCAACATAGCCTAGCATTATGATTCCTTTTCCCCATGAAATCTTATCATTTAAGCTTTAGTGATTGAGTTACTTGATACATGTGTTGGTGGAAGGTAACTAGTATCTGTAGAATTAGTCGAGGTGCAATGTGGCCTGGGATTGAAGCTTAGTTTCAAAGTTGTTACTCTAACTGTTAAGACTGTTATGTTGTTCCCCTTGGGTATAACTTGTTAGTACTTAATATGCTAAAAGGTTTCAACTTTCAACTATTTATCTTTTGCATAGGTTGCTATTTTTGTTATGCAAATAGTTCTTAGCTATAGTATTGCTGCAAGCCTGCAACATCAGGAGCCGGTGTCAAATTGTTCGTCCAACGTTGGTTTAGCAATATTTGTTAGACATTATATGTTGCCTTCGTCATGATGGCTGCAAAAAAAATCATTGCAATATGTCAATCTGGTGGAGAATTTGTGACCAATAATGAAGGCGGTTCTTTGAGTTACACGGGAGGGAATGCACATGCTGTAGACATCGATGAAAATACGAATGTGGATGCCTTTAAGCAAGAACTAACAGACACATTTAAGTTTAACGTTGATGGAATGGCTATCAAGTATTTTCTTCCGGGGAATAAAAAGACACTCATCACAGTATCCAAAGATAAGGACCTACAACGCATGGTTAACTTCTTCAAGGATTCCGAGCAAGTAGAAGTCTTTGTAGTTGCAGAAGGAGTTGGTGCACCCAATGTTTCCAATATGCCTGCTAGCAGGTATTATTTCTTCTTCTTATGGTCGAGTTCAGTTTTTTTTTTTTGTTTTCTTATTTGTATTGCTACAGATATAAATAAATAGAAGTGTTCTCTCTCTAACCGTTTAAGATTTTAAAGTTAGTGGATGAGGTTTCTCAAGCTTAGAAGGGTGCTAAACCAAAGCATAAGCTTTGAATTATAAGGAAACATAAAGGGGTTAATGGCATTAGAGCAGATTGAGATTTTGAGCTTAATTATCACTCTTACCATTAGCAAGAATACTTCCACGTGGAGTTAGTCGATGTGTGTGTAAGCTAGCTCGAACACCATGGTTATTTAAAAGGAAAGAATACTTTCCACGTGCTTGGACCAAGAAAAAGAATCAAACCTACACGTGAAGAGGCATGTTGCAGACATAAATAAATAGAATTGTTCCCTATCTAACAACTTAAGGTTTTAGATGAGATAATATGCCTAACATATTTTCAACACACATATCTTGAATATGATTTTTTCCTTTTCCTTTTTTCTACAAATAGTTAACCTTGAATTCCAAAATTTTTAGTTCAATGTTGGTGTTAGTGGTTTCTTGAACTTAATGAGGGTGTCTGATAGGATGCATTAGAAAAAATAATGCATGGATTAGCTTTGTGTAGTACTAATGTTTGCATTACTAATACACCCAATCAAACGACCCCAATATGTGAGAATCAGATTTCCCTTTACTGCAATGTGATTTCTAATGCATCTATGGCCTGCTGAATTATTCACGTCCAGCAGGACAACTATGTCAGAGACAACACTTTCTCCTGCTACCCCTGTGGATTTGACAAACCCTGACAGTCAGCTTGTGGTTGATGCACCAGTGGATACAACACCATTAGATATTCTTCCGAGTAGCAATGACGACAAGCACCGTAGGGCAGCTACACAGTGGGAAAACACTATTACTGGTGTGGACCAAAGATTCAGTAGTTTTACTGAACTTCGTGAAGCCTTACATAAGTACTCAATAGCCCATGGATTTACATATAAATATAAGAAGAATGATAGTCACAGAGTAACGGTTAAATGCAAGTCTGAGGATTGTCCTTGGCGTATATATGCATCAAGGTTGGCTACCACCCAGCTGATATGTATTAAGAAAATGAATAAAAACCATACATGTGAAGGAGCTGCAGTGAAAGCCGGATATCGAGCAACAAGGGGATGGGTGGGAAATATAATTAAGGAGAAGTTGAAATTTTCTCCCAATTACAAGCCAAAGGATATCGCCACTGACATTAAACGTGAATATGGCATTCATTTGAACTATTCTCAGGCATGGCGTGCAAAAGAGATTGCAAGAGAGCAACTTCAGGGTTCTTATAAAGAAGCATACAGTCAGTTACCGTCATTCTGTGAGAAAATCATGGAAACTAATCCTGGTAGTCTTGCTACATTTGCCACAAAGGAGGACTCGAGTTTTCACCGGCTATTTGTCTCCTTTCATGCTTCAATATATGGCTTTCAACAGGGCTGCCGCCCTCTTCTTTTCCTTGATAGCACTGTTCTCTATGCAAAATATCAAGGAACCCTGTTGGCTGCTGTGGGTGTTGATGGGAATGATGGTGTCTTTCCAATAGCTTTTGCAGTTGTAGATGAGGAGACTGATGACAACTGGCATTGGTTTCTTTCTGAACTTAAATCTGCTGTCTCAACCTCTCGACCAATAACATTTGTTTCTGCTTTTCAGAATGGTATAAATGAGTCATTGTCTGATATATTCAGCAAAGATTGCTATCATGGTTATTGTCTTCGGTACCTTGGTGAGAAATTATATAAGGATCTTCATGGGAGGTTTTCACATGAAGCAAGGCGTCTTTTGATCCAAGATTTATATGCTGCTGCTTATGCTCCAAAAGTGGAGGATTTTGAGCGCTGTGTTGAGAACATAAAGGCCATCTCACCTGATGCTTACAGTTGGGTTGTACGAAGTGATCCTGAACATTGGGCAAATGCCCTTTTTGGTGGGGCAAGGTATGACCACATGACTACTAACTTTGGACAACTTTTTCGTGATTGGGTATCAGATGTGAGTGAGTTTCCAATTACTCAGATGGTTGATGCCTTGCGAGGGAGGATGATGGAACTGAATTATACAAGGCGTGTTGATTCTAGCCAGTGGCTTACAAGATTGACACCTTCTATGGAAGAAAAGCTTCAAGATGAGACGTCAAAGGCAATATCACTTCAGGTATTACACTCACATGGGAGCACATTTGAGGTCCGTGGTGAAGCTGTTGATATAGTTGATATTGATAATTGGGACTGCACCTGCAAAGCATGGCAGCTTAATGGGTTGCCTTGCTGCCATGCTATTGCTGTTCTCAAACGTCTGGGAAGGAGCCCATATGATTATTGCTCCACATACTTCACAACTGAGAGCTATCATTTGACATACTCAGAATCAATCAACCCAATACCCCCTCTGGAAAAACCCGTGATAGCTGAAGTAGACATGGAAATCATGGTCAGCCCTCCTCCAACCAAACGTCCACCTGGCCGACCAAAGATGAAACAACCGGATACAGTTGATATACTTAAACGTCAACTTCAGTGTAGCAAGTGCAAGGGCATGGGCCACAATAAGAAGACATGCGAGTAGGTGCTTCTGACACTCTAGCTTGCAAATTTTTTATCTATGTTTCCTCTAGACTAGCTTAGTTATATTTCTTCTGTTTTGCCTTCCAATTCTTCCCATAAGTATATGGTATTCAAATTGTTTTCTATATTAGAAAAGGTAAAATCATGCATATGTCATTTACTTCTGCACTTACCTCCTATTTGTTTTGGATGTTACTTGCTTCACATGATTTTACAGTCTTTTTAGATTAAATCAAGTTATAAATTCTCTGTGTTGAAGTGATTATGGTGTTTTTCTCCTAGGAATACTATAGTGTTAGATCATATCTCCGTGTTGTGATCTTACCTTCCCTTTTCTGATTAGTTGGCTCTACTTGTTATGTTTGGACAAACAATAGTCAGCCTTGGTTTATAAGTTTTCTAGTGAGATGATTTCAACGTCGTTTGTAAGTATATGCTAATATATATTTGTTTAGCTTTGGTTGTATATTAACCTGCTACCATGATAAATATCTTTTATCGTTTATGCATATAGCGGTCTATGACCCAATGTCGTTATTTCTTTTGGGAGCAGGAAGGTAAATAAAATTGATGGATCTGATCCGCTACTTCTTACTGGACCGGTGGTAGCTGAAGAACCTGAAGTCACTGCATGATATTTGGTATCTTCTCCTCCTTTGTATATAAGAAAGTCTTTCATCAAGTTTAGATACTATTCTTTGATGCCTTTTGGGAAAGAAGTGGATGGGGTATATCTTTTAGGTAGACTTTTGTATACTAAATGGAATAGAGTGAAATGGGCAGTTTGAATTCGTATAGCCAACCGTGACTTGCTTGAGATGAAGGCGTAGTAGTTGTTGTTGTTGTTTGTAAATCAGAATATGCAACTAGAATGATGGTGGTAGTTATGAGAGCAGGATCAAAGAATATTTTCAAGTGTCCGACCATAGCTTTCTCGAGTATCTGTCTTGCAGGATAGACAACAGATTGCTATAAACAAATCGTAAGTGTTTGTTTGGATGGGCATAATATGATGCTCTAAGGGCATTGTGATATTGAAAAGTGATTGAATGATTCAAAGAGTTTGCTCCCATTCTATCAGCAGTAGAAATATACTTCAAAAATGTATAGGGATTCAAGTATCCTGCATATTTTCATGTGTTAGTACCTTGCTTTGAATGTTGTCAATGTTATTATTGTGAGATTATTATAATATGATAGGTAGAATAGAAACAGGGATAATGTATTTCTGGCTAAGCCTATTTGCTTCAAAATTAATGGAATTGTACCTTCTAATTTTGTGCTTTTGGTCTTGGGTAACTGGTTTATCAATATGGCTGAAGTATACATTTCGGTTGTATATGTTGTGTATAAGAATAGTGTGTGTATATTATATAGTAGTATATATTTAGTATAAAATATATGCATAATACATAAGCGTACCCTTTAATCTGTCTCAACTGGTATTTATGCTCTCCAACTTTGGGTGTGCACAAGTAGACACTATATAGTTGAATAAGTAAACACATGTGTCTTATGTGCAAAATATAAATCGGTTTGATTGTACTTCACATGAATTGCCACATAGGATATGTGGATCTAGTTATTCAACTTTATACAAGTTCATATGTCTACTTGTGCAAACCAAAAATTGAAAGACATATATGTCAATTGAGGCTAAGTTAAAGGCATGTTTATGTATTATGCCTGAAGTATACATTATTTATACAAAATGCACATATTTTGTATAAGAAAAACTACATAACTAAATAAACATCTCTCTCGTTTGCCACTCTCCTCCCTCTCTTTCTAGATCATCATCTTCTTCAGTAGTCGTGTTGATTGATGGTGTTACTAATCATGGTCTTACCTAGCTCTGCCCCTAGTACAACTACATAGTTTCACCCTTGATAATATATCATCTATTTGATATAAGTAGTTGTTTATCAAACTAATCCATTATTTCAACTTAAAATATAAAATTTTAAAAATATGTTGGAGCAGTTTCTATAGGCTCATTATGTTTTCACTCACAACATTTCAATTGTATATTCACATTCACTTAATTTCAAATGTTATCTTTTTATAAACCATTTAATTTCCTACATGAATTGTAGAAAAAAATAAAAATGTCTCTTCCAATTATTGGACATTTGACCAATTGATAAACGCGGTAGGAAAAAAAGACAATTTTTCCACCTCCACTTTTAATATTGAAAAACATTTTCAATGTGTACTAAATAATGATTAATCATTTAACTATCATTTCTAAAATGTGCGATTAAAAAGTAGAAAATATAAAAGGAATTTTGATGAAAGTAAAACCCCACACAAAAGTAGACATAGTAGTTAGTTTGCTAATCCATTTTGGTGGGCTTTTTGACTTTGGTTTTGATTTACTTTTTGAAAAGGTGACATAAAATAATTATGACAAAGAAATAATTGTTTTTCGAAAAAAAACAATTAAGTGATTTTGTCTAAAGATTTTGAGCCTAAAGCAGTTCAAGCTATTATGTCCGAGTCTTTTTTTCATTTTCACCGTTGATGCAATAGAAGGCTCCAAATGCAATATATGGGTGCTTCAGTTTTCGAAAAGAAAAATAAATCGATAGGCTTATTGTAAATCTTATATAAATAGACTAAGGACATATTTATTTTGTTTTCGTAGTTTTGTTGTTTAAATATAACTTTTAGTAATTAAATTTGATTTAACAAATTAAATAGTGTTAATACTCAAAAAATAAATAAATTATGTAATAACTAAATGCCACCTAGATAGATAGAACAACAAGAAATTTTAGATAAGAAATTATATGTTTTAGAATATAAATTGACTTGAGCATATATGGGAGTTGTAATTGGACTTAATTATTGTTCTTATTGCTACATCATTTGATAAGCATAATCTTATTATATATGTCACAGACTCACAACCCAAGTACATAACATGATGTACTATGTATTGTTCATTTTGATTCAATAACTATTACGAACTTATCTTTCACTACATCATTATTGAGCTAAAATGGTGCGTATAGTATCTTACAAAGTTATTCACTTTCTTCTTCTCTTTCAATATAAAATTTGCTTGTTATGCCTTTGATTTTTTTTAAAAAACTATCAGTCTATGTAATTGTTAGTCCTTCTCTTTGATCCGTCCTGATCGTCGATAATAATGTATGACAATCATGAAATGGCCATATAATAATAATAATAATAATAATTAATAATTAATAATAATAATTGTTGGTTCCCCCACACGAAAGATTAGAGCCACATGAATTGCCGTGGTTGATAATTAAATGTTGAAAAATAAGAAACAACACACATGCATGGGGTGGAAAGTGAAATTGACAATTGTTTCACTTTATTTATCTATTTTATCTTTATTTTACTTCAATCATTTGTATAAATAATTCGTAAACCACATAAAAGATGTAAATAATATTAGGTAAATTTAATGCAACAAGTGCAATTGGAATGACAATGACAAGGGAAATTAATTACGACCTATCTTATGGGATACCAACTCTACACCAATTCAGTAACTCATAAAAGTATAAATTATAGGTTAATATTATATATTGTTGGGTAAACTTTAAAAAAAAAAGTATTTTAATCACTTATATTTAAGTTAAAATAATAAAAATAAATCAAAAATCATAAGCTATATATCCATTCAAACAAAGCCCAAAGCCCTCTTTTGATGCAATTATATATTTGGATTTTTTCAAGTGACATTCTTTTCTTTATATAGTCAATATAAAAATGAATGACATCTTTTTATTTTTAGTATTTAAATTTTTTATTTTTCATCTATAGTCACATAAATATCTATAGTTCATTTTGACCACAAATTTTAAAATAAAAAAAAATATTTTAAAACTTTGTATTCAATTAATACTTTTACATAAATTAAGACGGATAGAATATACTTTTATAAAAATTATTTGCTCTCGCATTTTCATATGAACACACACAAAGTATTAATTGAATACAAAGTTTAAAAATAAATTCTAAGTCAATTTGTGTCTTCATATTTTATTTATTTGAAGAATGATTTGCGTGGACGTTTTATTTTCCTACATGCGAATTCTTGTGAAGAAAAAAGGTTTTTGGAAATATTTGTTGATTATGACATATATGATTATCTATATTACATTTTACTTTTCAGAAGAAAAAAAAACATCGCAAGAAATATTTTATTTCTATAGGAATAGGAATATTCTTTTAGTATCTTCTGTAATCTTCAATATAGTAATCTTCCTAAATTTTAAAATAATTTCACATAAATAGCTTTAAGGATATTTCAGTAATTTTAATATATAAAAGAATACTTCATTCGATCGTTTTAATTTGTTTTGTCTTTATTTTCTTTTCTAATTAGTTTAATAAAATGTAGACAATTTTTTTAATTTTTTATTTAAACATACCTTTAGTTTATAATTATGAGATTCAAAAATCTTTTTTTATTTTCTTAAATGTTGTTTCAAGCCATAAATTCAAATATTTTTGGAGCGTCGCCCTGAAAATAGCTTCTCAATACATATAATTAGAGTTGTCAACAAGGGTTGGCCTAGCCCCACCCGGCCCAAGCATCGCGCCAAGGAATTTGATGGGCTAGGGCGGGGCGGCCCTTCATTTGGAAGGGCCTGAAAATTCTCAACCCAATCGAACCCTAGAAGGGTCGAGGGTTGGGGCGGGATAACCCTTCTTTTTTTATTTTTTCATATTTTTTCTTTTCAAACTTAAAATTCTATAACATCAAGAAATGAGAAGATTTTCAAATCAAATATGACAAACAATGGTATTGTTTCAATAACACTAGCAAAAAATTTAGTGTGATTAGCATGTATCTAAGATACTAGATATGCGAGATACATGTATCTAGTGTATGATGTATCCCAAATACACGAGAGAGATAAGAGAGTGATGAGTTAGATGGGAGGACGGCGAGGGCACGGAATTTGTTCATGTATTATAGATATATGCGAATACACTTGGATAGAGTGTATCTAAAACAAATTAACCTAATTTTGAGTTTATGTATCCTGAGATACATGTATCTGGATGTACCAAAATCTAATAATATTTGTAATATTACAACATAACATGCATAAGTAAGAGTAAATTTTAGGTTTAGCAAACATAAAAATCATATTTGTATGCTATAGCTATAGTTTGTATAATTGCGCTCCATAGCAAACTTTATGTTTGTTATACTTTATGTTTGTTATGACTATTAATATGTATATTTCGGTGTACATATACAAAAGAATCAATTGTATAATTTATTTCAGTATACATATACAAAAGAATCAATTGTATAATCTGTGTTTGTATAAAGAGAGAAAGACAAGAAAACTGGGCAGGGGAAGATCTGTATTTGTATAATTATAAGTGTATAAGATGAAAATATATGTAGTTGTATATACAATTTTCTCTCACTTTATACAAATACAAATGCAATTTATACATTTGTGTTTGTATAAAAGTGAGAGAGGCGAGAGAGAGACTGCCAGTGAGAAAAGGAGAGCGGCGAGCAAGAATTTCAGGGAGAGGCGAATAACAACAGTTTGCTACGGGTTACAATTAAATCAAACTGTGGTTATATTATTTAATTTGAATTAATAATTTGCTATTTTATAGAATTTTCCCTTTAAGTAATTAGCTTATATAATAGTAATCCCATTTTAACGGCTCTACATATAATTAAGTTGATCAATACGAATATCGAACAACACTAAGAAAAGAAAGACCGCATCATGCGTCTTG